TACAATACAAAATAGTTCACTTCTTACCTAGTTCTATTAACATTGTGATATTAGGATCAGTGATATAGTTAGAAAATGCTTCCATGTATCCTCTTCCTACATCTTTCCATTCAATTGCTCCTCTCCCACCCACTACCACCAACCACACACAGTCTGGACTCATCATTATTGATGATAAGGAATGACCCTGTCTACCAGTAACAGATTCGGGTAGAACAATCTGTTGAAATAATACATGTATGGTAATATTTTATCATGTAAACAGTATTTACAATATGTTACAAATATTCAAGGGAATATACATGTACATGCATTAGGTACATGTACTGTACATGCACACAGTGAGTATTTCTAAGGTATTAATACAATACAATACATTAACATGACAACTACTGTACAATCACTGTATCACACACATGTACACTCTAAACTAATAACATTATACACATACCTTACTCCACTGGTACTGACTAGCTCAGTAACAAACTATCATTTACTAGTTGATCATCATTACCCTCTCCACCTATCATTACTAGTGTAGGTGAGTCACTGATGATACTAGTAATAGCATGTTTATGTCTCTCCACAGGCCACTGTATACTAGCAGGTACTACTGGTCCCTTAACACTCTCCCAGTGCTAGATAAAATGAATTAATCAATATTATAAAATGTATTACCGTATAGCGGGAAATTTTGGAGGAAATTAAATTTGGCAAATATGGCGTTTCAATTTTTAAACTAAAAGCTAATCACCAAAATTTAGCTTTTTGTCAAATTTTTGTCCTTCCAAAATTTCCCACTATATGTAATGCATGTATAAACATGATTGATCCATGCAATAAATACATCCCATACAGTAATAGGATAACTTACTATTGTAGTATCAGACTCCAGTTGACATGTATAGACTGTATTAACATCTATATCACTTCTACCATCATCACTAGGCACTACTCCACCAAACATGACAGCTTTATTATTAGTAATCTTTTGAATAGCAAAGACACTAGTAGGAGGACAACACTGACCACTAATAGTTGGAATAATCCATTGTCCTAAATAGAAATAGATAGTATAATTAGAATTATTAAGTATGACACTGCAAATGCCAAATATTTCCATATAGCTAGAAAATTTGGTGGAGTAAAACTTTGGCAAATTGAGGTCCATTTGCCAAATTTTTAGTCTCCAATTTGATAAGGCTCCATTGAAGCATACACAGAGTTAAAATTTTGCCAAAGTTTTAACCTCCAAACCTCTTCTAAAGTCAATTCGCCAAATTTTCTAGCTATACGGTATGTACATACACGTATACATAGCATAAAATAATGACTATAAATTAATTTTAATGAGTGAAAAACGACCAATTTAAATTTGTCATTTTGTTCCACTTAGCACAAATACATGTTAGTTATGGCTCAATATGACAACATTTGACAATATCATTCATAAATGGAGTAAAATGATTATTAGAGTTCAGTAA